ACATCCAACAGGCCACAATTGACAACCTGATCAACTCTATACAAAGGAGATGTGTTCTATTGTGTGAGACAAATGGTCCCACCAGATACTGAAGAAAAACAAAAACACTAAACTGTACCTTTCAATGTGGCCTTTTATTGTGGGCAATTTAAGGCACACCTGTGCACCAATCACGGTGTCTAATCACCATCTTGGTATGGCACACCTGTTCGGTGGGGGGGAGAACTGCTCACTATCACATATTTAGTCTGGTTTGAGAACAATACTGGAGGGAAATGGTGATATTGTGTATGTAAAAAAAGTTTTAGATCTTTAAGTTCATCTTATAAAAAATGGGAGCAAAACCAAAAGTTTTGCAATTATATTTTTGTTAATTGTAGCTAAGAGCATGAATTCAAAGCCACATGTCATACAGACCCAAGATCTATAACGGATATGTAAACCATACAGCTGTCATTGTGACCTGGTATGGTCAGAGAAGACTCTTTTTACTTTGCTTGTGGAAAACTCAGAGTATGTTTCGATTTGATTTTACCAAGGTGGTTTCACGGTCCTGCTCTGAGGTAGGCCTTTTTAGAGCTTAATGCGATTTTTCCAGGAGTGAGATCATGATTAGCAAGATAAGACATTGCACCACCAGAAACAACAAAGAGCAATGTGTACTAATTTGTGGTTTGTCAACAATTCTTTTATCAATAAATGCAGGTCTAAGATGTTATATACTTCCTGCAGAGGATGATGAGAGCCCACCTGCCAATCCTCACCCATCCTCACAACCTTCTACAGAAGCACCATAGAGAGCGTTCTGACAGCTGTCTCACTGTGGGGTGTGGAGGCTGCAGCACCGCAGATTTGAAGAAGGTAAGAAGAGCAGTGAGAACTGCAGAGAAGATCATGGGGGCTCCTCTTACTTCCATAAAAGACATTTCATCCCAGAGCAGCATCTCCGGAGCCTGTAGCATTATCAATGACCCCTCACTTCTCCACCATGGACTGTTCTCCCTGCTGCCATCTGGGAAGAGGCTTCGCAGCATTCAATGCAGGTCCAGCAGAATCCGAAACCACCTCTTCCCCACTGCCATCAGAAAGCAGAATGTTGATAAAACTCAAAATCATGTCACAGACCACGCATCAAACTGGCCATATCAATGCGCTTTTTTGCGTCATGTTGTTTCTGCCACAATGTTTGCATTTGATCGCTGCTGCACTTTAAGAAAATGGAAATGTCATGAGAGATGTACAAAATGAATAAATGTTGTCTAATTCTACATATTTTTTTTTTTGCTTTTTTTTTAAATAAGAAAGTATACCCCAAAACAGCATCTGTACAGATTTACAGCCGAGTTTTGGTGTTGTGTTGTGGTGCTTTTGGAGCAACAGACCTCTGCTGAAAGGCCAGTATGACTGCTGGGAGTTAAAATAACTGGGCTGTGAAATGGAAATACACAGTTATGGCACCCTTAAGTCAACCGGTGACAACTAGTTATCTGTTTGTTAAATCTGGAAGTGAATATAAAGTGGTTATTATGTTTGTGGTGAATAACCAAACTGAAGAATGCATGAGACGTACATTTCTTTTCAACTGAAAGTTTTGAAGTGTAGGGTATTAATTAGAAAGTGTTTCAACACAGTTCAGTAGGAACAGCTTCTTAAATATATATTAATGAAGAACAAAATGATCAAACAGAACACTTTTTGTTGTTTTTTTAAAATGTATATACATTTTCCTGAGACTGAAATGTTATGTAAAACTGACCCTGTCACACCTTGACGATTTAGACAGCATATGCCTGGTGTACAAAAAATCTGGCAAAAATGCTGGCATACCTTGGATAAGTTATGGGTATGTTTTGTTTAAGTTATGAGCAGGCTGAAGCATGCTGTAACACGCTGCCAGACGTCGAGATAGGGCAAGAACGTATGTCAGCCCCTACGTATGCCAGCGTATGTTCATACGTGGGCTGTAAGATCGTTGACATTGATTAAGTCTAAGTTACTCATAAGTTGTGGTGTCTAGATTATCTAACAACTATGAGTAACTTGTGCATAACTTAACCCTATAATGCCAAATGTATCGTATTTGATACATACGGTTTCTGAAATGTTTTGCGTCTGACACCTTTTGCATAAAGGTGTCAAATCCTATTGTACACAAACAAATATACCTGATAACAGCCAGTAGAAGACTACACAAAACATAATCTTGACTTATCGCATAGTAATAAATTATTGATATCAAAAATGTATTTCTGTTTTTTCTTTTTACATATTTTGTTAAAAGGGCAAATAAGGAATTCAAACCAAAAAAAAAGTAATTTTCTGTTTTGTTTTATTCTTGGATCGGGCTTTAAAGGGTTAATCGTAACTTATCAAGAACTCATCTCCAACACATATCAACGTATTTGACATGTTCCAGGCGACCACTGAACATGTTTCTAACTTACAGCTACCGTATAATGGCGTATTGGCACTGTTTTGGTGTAAAATAGGGTTCATAGGAGGAAACAGTCAGTTCTCCGCCAGACTCCATCCCGATCATATCTGGAAAATTTCATGGGCATTACGCTGCCGTGCGTCATGCATAAGTTAGGCTGTCGTTGGACATAAGTTCTGCGCTCGTTATGAATACTCTATGTATACACAGAAAATGTAAGAAATACATATAAAGTTTAGCGTATGCCAGCGTTTTACAAGATTTTGGAACGTCAGGCACACTCTGGCTAAATCTTCAAGGTGTGACGGGGCTTTAGTGGAGTGTGAGCTCTTTACATTTTTTTTTTTTTCATTTTTTTTATTAATTTATGATGACAGCTCTTTAGGACAAGACCTTTCATCCTCTTCGTTTCCTTCCATAATCAATTCCGCCACCTACTTGTCAGTCACCTAATATAAATATTTGGTTATAATGAATTATTTATATTATTAATTCCCTGTACCTGTGGACTTGGGTTAATTAGGTTAACAAAGTTTTGACTTAAATGTTTTTGTCTGCACTGCAGATATCTGAAGGGAGTTTCGTTATGATTTTAAAATAAAAAATGTTATCATGTCAATATTTAAAGTATAGCTAAAGCTGGTCATCTACTATCAATTATCAGCTAAAAAAAATTATTAGCCGGTATTCAAATATATTAAAAGAGCTGCATGAAGTGAAATTTCTTCAATTAGGTTTAATTAAAATTATATGTCTTCTGACTGAAAATATTTATTTTTGGCTCAAAATTGTTACTTTGGATTATCGTTAAAATCAAAAAGAAAATCCAAATATATATATATATATATATATATATATATATATATATATATATATATATATATATATATATATATATATATATATATTTACAAAAAGATCTAATAAAGCTATTATTTGGAATATTAGATCAATATACATCATCATTAATCATTTAGGAATTTTATATATTTTTTACTTTATTTAAGTTAAATTATAGTTTTCTATAAAATCAGAATTAGAACTCAAGAAGAACTGATCAATTCAGCTGTAAAAGTTAGAGTTTTTTTTTGTTTGTTTTTGGAAAAAAAAAACAACAACAGATGAAAACAGGGATCCTATCTCAATATCACTGAAGCTATCACCTTTTTTTTTTTTTTTTTGAAAACAGAATTTTTTAAAGAAAACAAATTAAATTGATCTAAAGGACCAATCAGAAACCATGTTTGCTCCAGCACATATCATCATTAGAATTTCTCTTAGTATTATGTCTTTAGTACAGGGGCCAGGACATGATCTACAGGGGCACTGTCCCCCGTTGGCCCCTGTCTAGAACTGCCCATGGCTAAAAAATAATCTCAAACTAGTTTCTTGGAAACAACAATATTCTACACTGAGTTTAGGATTTGGTGATCATGAAGGGAGTCCTGGCACATCCGTGATAAAAATCATGGATATGAAGCTCCAAAAAAAACCCAACAAAGTGGAACGAAATCTGTGTTAAAAGTTTCTGCCCATGTTTGCATTTACAGAAACACTGCAGTTCATAAAGCAAAAGGGGAAGTCACATTGTGCTAGCAAAGTACTTGTCTTGTCTTCTATTCTCTTCAGCTAAATGCAAACTTTGGTGAAAACAAAGGTTTAGCATTAAAAGCTATTTTTTCTCCAATTTTCATTTAAGAATGTGTGCCTACAGTTTGTGCTCACAGCAGCCCTGTGCATACACATCAAAAAAGCTGAATGTAGAGCAACCCATTGAGGTAGAGAAGAATTAAAGAAGTGAAAACCAAAGCTGTAAAGTTGGTGTTCTGCTTCTTTAAAAAAAAAACATAATAGAGAATGCTCCCCCTGCCTCTTGTGTTACAGAAAGCTAATCTCGCCAATGAAATTGGAAATGAATGCAAGTGAATGCAATGCATTTGAAGTGAAGTGCATGAATGTTTCTGCAAATCTGCAAGAAATTCCTCCCATTAAACACTGATAACACATGGTGTGCATAGACGGAGCCTATATATGTTGGCTACATTTTAGGATATGTGCATAAAGGGCTGAATGGCTTCGTCTTTAATTTCCAATAATTCCTGACCGCTCAGTTTATTAATCCTGGTCCCCCTCCGCCCCTCAGTTGGGGTTTTACAGGGAGACTGTGACCTCCTGACCGCCAAGTCGCTGCTTATATTTCATTGCATCCTGATTCTCTGACATGCATGGTGGGGGAAGGGCATAAAGAGGAAGAGGATATGTGTGTGTGTGCGTTGTGTGTATTTGTGGTTGGAGGAGAGGGGGGGTGAGGAATGCTTGGTATGTGCGGACGGACGAAACCAACTCGAGAGGCGAGCAACGCGTCTGATTGAAACACTGTCCGGAGAAACTACAAAAAACAGACATAAGGTAAAAATATAAAATTCCTCTCACTGCTACATTTTAAAGATATCAACGTCGAAGTGGGAGTTTTGAGTCGGGGAACACGCAGTTATTCTGCTGTGAATCCCCCCCTGCTCGGAGGCTGAGATGGTTCGGTCTGTAGTAGGTGGGACAGCCGAGCGGTCTGCAGCAGGACGTCGTAGATCAATGAACCGGACCGGAGGGTTGGTCCATCGCCTGGTGTGCATCTGATTGTGTTATAGATGTGTCAGTAGTGCACCTATAAGAACCGAGGCTTTATTCTCTCTAAACCAGCCGGTTCATTATGCGGATATTATAGAGGCTCTTTTATAAGCCCCCATCCATCGTCTCTCGGTTTTCTCCCCGGCTCTATTTGCTTTTAGTTTTTTTTATTTATTCTTTTTTTTTTTTTTTTAAAGGGGAGGGGGACCTGAAACACATCTGTAAGCTCCGGGATGATTTTTGCAAACACAGGCAACCCACTGAAGACGACCAATCGAAAGCAGGTAGGCCAGAAAATGACGCTCTAAACTCACATATCTTTATTCCCTGACCGCACTTTTTATTTAATATAAATGCTGCTCCCATTTGATTGGATATTTAAACACAGTGAAAATGCCTCCAGGCGCGCGTGACATTGGGATGGCATTCCCACCTCATTCTTTCTATGGCCGGATTAATTAAATTCATTAGTAAACAGATCCAGCGCTCTCAACAGTTGCCAAGCAGATGCTCTGATATACATGGGGAGATAAAACAGCAGCTGGCCCACATCTATACCCCCCATCCCCCCCATACACACACTTTATGTCCGACTAACCTTGTTTGGAGCCTCTCTCTGGTCAATATGTATGGCAGCAACTGTACTCCATTTAATAGGTTAATGAATTATGTCTGAATCCAGAGAGGACTTTTTGTCCTGATGTGATGTACAGCTTGTCAGGCTGCTCCATGGGCTGGACTGTCCCGCCTGCATTCTTCATTTTGACCTCTGAGATCATTACACCTTTTAGATTAGGTGAGGACTGCTTAAAAAAATGGAGATAATGAAGTAGAAGAAAAAAGAAGCAAACTAAAGCTTTGGTTTGCTGTTTATCTCATAGGAATAAATTCCTGCAGGAAATTTGTCTTTTTTTAAATCTTAATTATCTCTAAGATGCCCTTGTGAATGTCATCCTTTAGATGCATGTTTGAAGGAGATGCCCACCCTTAGAGAAAAGTTCAGAACCACATGCCAAGAAATTAGAACCTCACAAATGTCACTGCCCCTCAAATTCTTCTTTTTTTTCAAAATAACTCATCTAAAGAATAGTTCTGTTGTTCCTTTTTTTATTTTACATTCTTGTGTAGTTTTATAATCACCGGCTCTTGAAGATTGTCCTCTGGTTGTAGACAGATGGTGTGATTCTGCCTTTGATCTGATTGGGGTGGCTGGGAGCGATTTTAATGAATGAGTAAAGGGAAGGAAATGCTTTGCAGGGCAGTGTGGTGTGTGTGTGTGTGTGTGTGCAGAGTGGCTTACTAGCATGAAGAAAGCGGCATGTTTCTGGGGAATGCCACAGCAGGATGTAATAGTTAAAAACGCCAATTTAATCACAATGTGATTCATAGACTCCCTCTTGCATAAGAGGAAATCTTTCCCTGTGGCGTTTTTGTTGGGCAGAATCATATTTTTGGAACCGCTGGGAGCTTAAATCAATTACTTACATCTGAGGTTGTAAAACAAAAAGGAATCATATTTAAACGTAACAATGTTCTTTCTGTAAGACTTTTGGAAACATAGTGAAGCAAGAAAATAAATGACCCCAAATTCCTCAAAGTTAGCACTTGGCTCACTCTTCCTCCTCCATTGTACACGTATAACAGGATGTTAGGCATTATTATGCAATGCTTTACCAACAACTCCAGCTTTTAACACTGTAGGAAATGACATTTGTGTTTTCCGTGCCTCCATCCTACATGGCTAAGATGTTCTTGTAATTGCTGTTGGTCTGGGTTTTAAATTAGATTATCTGAAGGCCATACGCATCTTAATAGCAGGTTTCCTGTGTGCAGTCCTACCCCATGACTCCGTCCAGTCCCAGCAACAGCAGCAACAGCAGCAGCACAGGCCTGGAGCAGCTCAGCAAAACCAACCTGTACATCCGCGGCCTGCCTCCTGCCACCACAGACCTGGATCTGGTCAAACTCTGCCACCAGTAAGTACATACTGTACACACATACATGCTGAAATTAGGTGAGCTCAGTGCGAAACGAACAATAGAATAGAATAGAACGGAATAGAATAGAATAGAAAATCCCTCTAATGTCCCACAATGGGGAAATTCTGGTGTTTACAGCAGCAAAAAGATTATAGATAAAAATGGTCACAGAAATGTGGACCTTAGAAAAATGTACAAGAATAACATAATAGTGAAGAGTTAAAAAATAAATGATAACATACTGCACTGTAAAGTGTTTAACAATATAAAACTGTGCACATGGAGAATAAAAAAACAATATACAGCTATGGACATTTTTACAGTAACGGATATTTGAAAATAGCAACGTCAGAGATGTGGAAAATAACAGCAGCATGTTATTTACCTGACTAAGGTAGAGAATGCTTATGTGCTTGTGTTTGATATAAATCTTTGTGTGTGCATGTGTGTAGGGGGGTTGTTGGTTAGTTGGTAAGTTTCATTTTATCTCCGTTGCAAATGTTAAACTTAAGTAATTCTGAATTAGTTTTGCTTTACTTTCAGAATGATAAATGCATGTCCTTTCCGGCAGGAAATACAGCTGATATAATGACTTCCCGGTGAAATTAAAATAACCCTTTTTTTTTTTTTGGTCTGTTCGCTTCAAAAGATACACCATTAAAAGTGGGTGTAAGACGAAGAATCAAGACAAGTTAGAATCTACTCTAAAACTGCGATGTTACCTAAAAACTCTTAATAGTTTCACATCAGGCAAACCAATGTTATATAAAGGTGGAATAGTCATTTTTGTAGGCAGTGCAGTATATGACTTCTTGATTCAATTAAATTTGTAAAAAAAAAAAATTCATGTTATTTCAGAGGTGAGATGTTCATAATCCCTGCTGTTAACCAAATATAGCTTTGTTTTTTGATCTTGATAAGAGCGGATAAAACCATGGTGGCCAAAAAGGTGCCAAAGTTGCCACATTTTAAATATCATAGACTGGTTTGGAGTGAAGGGTATAAACGATCCTATGGAATTAGGTTTGATGTTCCTCTTTTTTCAGCTCTTTTTCTGGTCTTGGTGCTAAGCTAAGCTAAAAGGTGCTGGTTGTAGTTTCCATTAAAGCAAAAAAAAAGGGTCAAATTTGAGAAATGTTAAATTTGTTATGCAAAATATTTGCAGAATTTCGCTGCTCATAAATGTTTGTTTATACCAAGCTGGTTCTGGCTTATTTTTCACATTTTTTATGGAACATTTACTGAAAAAAAAATGTTTTTTATTCAGGTGAGGTTTATATAAATTAAAATTAGATATACAATAATTCCATATATATAATGGCTTTCCAGAATAGATGTTTTTTTTATATAATCTGTTTAAACTATCCTGTTTATTGAAGAGGGCTCAAACATCCATGGGTCTATAAATGCACATAAGGTAAAGCATGAGCTCAGCACTGGTATGTGCTGAGCTGTAAAGCAAATTGTTCTCTAGAGAAAAAATAGCAGTCCAGTGAACCTATTACACACAACCTGATACTAGCGGCTTGAGTCCAAGCGGTTTTAATGTGGTGGATGTCATAATTAGTGGAGTTTTGTCGTGGCTTTTCCTTTTAAATCAAACACATATTGGAAGTAGAGGCGCTCAGCCATATAACCAGCAGCAGCTGTTTGTGTCCTGTTTGCCTGTGTTTTGTTCTTGTTCCCAATGGTGTTTGACGGCACAAAAGCAGAAACGAAAGCGCTTTTCATAGCAACAAGCCCTGCATGCTGAAATGACCAAGACATTTAGTGAGCGTGGCCTTCATATGCATGTTGCAGGTCAGAGTTCGTCAGACATCCCACTCAGACATAAAAGCCTGAAGTGATCAGATTTCACTAAGGTTTCAGGAAAACATGTTAGGCGGGTAGCTCATCTTCATGAACATTACAGCTTCTTTTTTTTCCAGCTTGAAAAGGGGATTTGATTCTCCTTTTTTGTGGACACACACCAGGAGCACTTCTATGATCCACACCTACAGGGGTCCTTGGCCCCTTATGGCATTTATTTAATTATATAGATTATATTTGCGTGAAAAAAATGAACCCAATTAATCGCTTTTTTTCTAAGCGCCAAATTGGGAACCTTTGTATTCACTGTTTTTGTATGCCCTTAAATCTGACGCACAAACAACATCACAAGTGGTCCACTGGAGGTATTATCATTGCAACTTATGTTGCAACAAGCTCAGACGTTTGCAAAACTAATATCATTGTCCAATTAGGGCACACATTCTCCCGCCAGGTTACATCAGACTACATGATTAGCTTTAATGGCAACATAAGTAAATCTAGGTATGAAGAACTAAACAACATCCCGATGAAGTGGGTTTCAACATGACTTGTTTGCCTTAGTAAATGGCTTAAGGAAAAATAAAGTAGCCTCAGTGGGAGATATGTTTTAATTGCATTAAATGTTGAATGTCACATATTTAAGCTTCTAAAAGCAAAGGTTTATTCATCGCTCTGCTGTCATAGTTCTGTTGTCTGCATTAGATTTAAACTTTAATTTTGTTCATAGTAAATGTTAAAATCTTAAGGGCAATATTATTGCTATGTTTTATATTTTTTTTATTTTTAATGGAAGACTCCTTAATGTTCATGGACTGTTCACACTTGTAAAGAAGTAGATTTTCCTAGAACTTGCATAAAATATCAGCTAAATAATGTCTTTCAACCAATCTGATGTTTGCTCATGTCTTTTTATTTGACAATTTAGGAGCAAAATGGTTTTTTGAATTCAAGAAGTCGTTTATTATGTCAATATATTACGGAAGAGGATTAGGGCCACTGAAAAAAAAAAAGTAACTGATTTTTATTTTTTTTTTTTTTCAGTATAGTATGGGAAAAAAGTCAGAATTCTGACTTTAATGTCAGAATTCTGACTTTTTTCTCAGAATTCTGACTTTAATCTCAGAATTCTGACTTTTTTCTCAGAATTCTGACTTTTTTCTCAGAATTCTGACTTTAATCACAGAATTCTGACTTTAATCACAGAATTCTGACTTTAATCTCAGAATTCTGACTTTAATCACAGAATTCTGACTTTAATCTCAGAATTCTGACTTTAATCTCAGAATTCTGACAATAAAAAAAGTCAGAATTCTGAGAAAAAAGTCAGAATTCTGAGTTTAAAGTCAGAATTCTGAGAAAAAAGTCAGAATTCTGAGAAAAAAGTCAGAATTCTGAGATTAAAGTCAGAATTCTGAGATTAAAGTCAGAATTCTGAGAAAAAAGTCAGAATTCCGAGAAAAAAGTCAGAATTCTGAGATTAAAGTCAGAATTCTGAGAAAAAAGTCAGAATTCTGAGTTTCAAGTCAAAATTCTGAGAAAAAAGTCAGAATTCTGAGAAAAAAAAGTCAGAATTCTGAGATTAAAGTCAGAATTCTGAGAAAAAAGTCAGAATTCTGAGTTTAAAGTCAGAATTCTGAGAAAAAAGTCAGAATTCTGAGATTAAAGTCAGAATTCTGACTTTTTTCCGTACTAAACTGAATTTAAAAAAAAAAAAATCAGTTAACTTTTTTTTTTTTTCAGTGGCCCTAATCCTCTTCCGTAATATATGGTTCACGCAAACTAAAAATTTAAATAAATCCAAACACTAATACATATATTTTTATTGAGTTGCTATCAAGTATTAAAACTTCATTAGAACCCAAATTTTTGTACAGCTTTTGAATGGGAATGTTCTCTGTATTTTTTGTAAAGGTCACAAGTTAGGACATTTTCCCTCCAAAAAGCTTTAACTGTGTGGTTTTTACTTTTGCAAAAGCACGGTTACCATGGTAACAGCATGTGATAGAAAGATGAGAGCTGGAGTGTGGAGGGTTAAGCAATGTGACTGGTTTTCTATATAGACAGAGCGATACATCAGCTGATCGATATTTTGGCCAGTATTAGCATTTTTTTTATTTTATTTTTATAAGCATCAGCCGATCTGTGCAGGTATTGGACGATTCATTAGTGCTTTCAGGCAGCTATGTCTTAAGCTAAAGCTCACGCATTTCTGACCCCTCCATTTTTTTTCTATTATTAATGTTTTGTTTGATTTATTAACACATTTTTTGTTGCTTAAATTGAGATTAGTGTTACAATTATTAATGTGTTCTTCTTATATTGTAAATGGATGAAAAAAGTGGCTTTAAAGGTTGAACTAAAAAGTCTACAGCACATATCAAGAACCGTTAGACTGATGTAAATATAATCTGTATCAGCATCATTTAAAAAAAAAAAGAATGTATTGGTCAATCTCTTATTTTTTGCACATCATAGAACAGATTACTTCCCTTGCAAACTGGCATAAAGGTTTTAGGGTCGTTAACATCAATTAGTGACGCTCACTGGTGTCTGTATTCAAGCCTTGTTAGATAGTGTTCTTTGAGAGTAATCTGCATTTTTTTGTATCTCCAGGTATGGAAAGATTCAGTCGGCAAAGGCGATTCTGGACAAGACGACTAACAAGTGCAAAGGTCAGTGAGCTCATCTGTTTCAGTTATGCATAATTAATATATTTAGACACATATTAATTGTCATTACGCATTAAGGTAGTTTATACCTTTGAAGTTTAAGATGAAATGTTCATTTTTCCTTTTTTATTTGACTGAATTGTAGTACATTTCAGACAGTAGCTGGTTTGCATAAATTTTCTCCAGGTTATAGTTATTTAACTCAATAATCCATCTTCTAAAGACAAATGCTTCAGCTTCCTTTCTGGTCAAAATTCAGCTGCTCCTCATCTCGGTAGACTGATTTAGACAAAATCTTTGCTGAGCCCCACTTCCATGGTAACAAAAGTTTGACAAAAATAAAAGCAGATTAAAATGGATTATCCCAGACAGACAGATTTAGAGGATCCACAGACACATTTTATCTCCTCATGGATTCAAACAGAAAACAGAGAATGACTTTATTAAGGAGAACAATAAGGACAATACTTGATAGTTAGAAAAAATGGTATATTTAAGCAAAGGTATAGTTATAGTAAGTAATTAGCCCTTATATACATTTCAAAAGTAAATATATTGAAATGTCTTAAATACTGTGGTGAAAAAGTGCACATCTTCAAGGATTGGTTGCAAAACAAATAACATGTACAAAATCTGTATGGACCACCCTATTAAGATGCAGATATTTAATGTGCTGCTTGGTGTTACCACGGAAAATTTGGTAGATCGGATTAGATTTGTTTTGTGTCTCCTGCTGTTAATGCAGCTGAAATTTGCAATTTGAAATTCTCTTCCGAGTGGAGTTCAGGTTATTATAGCTGCAATGTGTGACCAATAAAGCATATACACTGCAGTGAAGGGGTGCAGTTTCAGGAAGTCTTCTCACGTAAACGTGATTGTTGTACCAGAGCAAACCCTATGAGGCTAGTACTAAGAGCGCCATTAATGTCCTCCCACTGAAGTAAGATTTTAGAGCAACAGTTAAATTATCTTCTAGCGGATGTTCATGGATATCCTACGTAGTGTAGGGTGGGTACAACAAAGGTGGCGACAAGTGCTCTTATTTTGAAGGGCAATGATTGCTATTCTCCAAATCTGAACCATCCTTGGGACATCCAAATCAGTAAAATCTCCACTTTTTCATTCATTCCACCTTTATTTAGAGAGGTAATCTCATTTAGATCCAAGATCAAATTTTTTAAGAGACATCTTTTTGCTGAAACACAACAACAATGAAAAATCATTTTACAAACATAGTAACAATACAAGTAAAGCGTGCATTAGATCGTTTTTGATTTTGTCTAAAAGGAAATGTACATTGTCCCAGAGGAATTGGCGTGGATATTTTCAGCAGAGAAAACGGTGCAGAATAATAAAATGCCTTTTGATCTAATGGAACGCTGAAGGAGAGGAAGTCCTGAGGCTCAGGGTTCTAGCTGGACTGTCTAAGTCACAGTTTCTTGGACTTGGAAAAACCTGGTGACAGAAAATGTTGCCTTCATCACAAAAATCAATACAAAGCAAACAGTCATGATATTCTACCTGCTGGTTTTTATTTAAGGTCATTTAAAGCCATACAAATATTTCCGTAGTACTGATTTCTCTGTTATATTGACATTAAAAACAGTTTAAACTATTGATTCTTCTAATGATTTAATGACTGATGTCAGAAATATTGTTCCTCAAACATCAGGTTACGGCTTTGTGGACTTCGACAGCCCAGCTGCTGCTCTAAAGGCAGTGCATGCTCTGAAAACCAGCGGCATTCAGGCCCAGATGGCCAAGGTAGGTCTGATAGAGGCATGCCTACATGTCTGTTTTTGTGTGCAAACTTCTCATGCTTATGAACCTTTCTTTGGAGTAGTTGTGCTTATTTGACTGTTTGCATTCTTCTGTTTTGTGTTTGATGACATAAAAATATTCACCTGTTCTCAGCTGACTTGCTCATCCTCCTGTGATCCAATTGGAAGGATTGATCAGTAACCAATCGTGTTTGGTCTAATAACATTGATTTCACAGTTTTAACGATAATGGCCGTGAGATATGCAAGCAGCTTTAAAGATAAATGATGAAAGGAAAAACAGGATATTAATGTATTATGTTAAATTATTTATCACAAATTTCCCGGAGCATGACATTTCTTTTAGTCCTGTGGTTTTTTTTCCTGCATGCGTGCATTGCAGTGTGAGAGTTCAGTGATGAATTGCTGCTCTCGGGAGACCTGCATGTGGCTGCTCCGCTTGTATCAAACATGGCAGAACACTGGTTGTGTGTTGCAGTAGCTATGGCGACGCCGCACTCGTGCTGTTTCCAGGAGAGACCGTAGAGGCGCTGAGCTGCTGCTCAGAGCGGATGAAGAGGGATGCACTGCGTGTGGTTTTATGTGGATGTGTGTGTGCAGAAGAGCTTAAAAAATGTTTGTTTAACCAAAACGTTCCTTTGACCAAACTTGAGTCAGTGCTCTGAGTCGACCATATGTCAGCCAAGATAATGTGCATTGTCTGTATTTTTTTTGTAAAATCCTAACGCTCTATCCTAATGTTTCTGAGCAGCAGCAGGAGCAGGACCCCACGAACCTTTACATTTCCAACTTGCCTCTCTCGATGGATGAGAGGGAGCTGGAGAAGATGCTGCAGCCCTTCGGCCAGGTCGTCTCCACTCGAATCCTACGGGACTACAGCGGTAACAGCAGAGGCGTGGGCTTTGCCAGGTGTGTCACAGGATAGACTCAAAAGAAACACATCCGCTTCTTGTCTGATGAATCACCTTTGAAGTAGCTGTGGAATAAGCCTTCAGCAAAATGTTCTCCATGTGATCTGGTATTAAGCTTTGTCTATTTGTAGCTGATGTTCCTACATAAAAAAAGAGGACTGGAAAAACAGCGATCTGTGGGGGAAAAACAAAAAGATCACTCTACATCAAAAGCCTACTTTTAATGTTAAATTTCTTTGAAAGAAGCAAGCCAAATGTGAAAGTAAAATATTTAGCGTGTAAACCAAGTAGTTTTGCAAAACATGTACCCTTTTTAAAAGACGCTGTCCCCTCAGGATGGACACGACGGAGCAGTGCAACGCAGTCATCTCCCAGTTCAACGGGAAATTCATCAAGTTAGCTTCTGGAGCTCTGGGTAATAAAAGTATCACTCTTCTCTCCATCTTGTATCGAGAGGCATAATTACAATTAGTTCATGCTATGTGTCTGTTTTCATTTTGTGCGTTTTTCTTCCAGGCCCATCTCAACCTCTGTTATGTAAGTTTGCGGACAGTCAAAGAAAGAAACACGCTCACAGTGGATATGTGCCCAATGGACAGTCAAGCGATCTCAGACTAGTATGTATAACATTTTTTTTTACCTCAACACCTTTTGTAGTATTGCTTTATTACTATATGATTATAACCTATTCAAAAACACTGTACATTTAGAAATATTTTTTTGTTATTCAAAATTAGACTTCCATCTACCGAATAATGGGTCTGTAGTGTATGTATTTAAACATCACCTGTGTGTTCATCACCTGTTTAAAGTAGGGATGCACGATATTGGGATTTTGGCCGATATCCGATATGCCGATATTTTAAAACTCATGTAGCCGATAACCGATACAGATGTTAAAGCTGGACAAAAATAAGTAGTCATTGAAAATAGCAGTTTTGTTATCCATTTCTGACACTTTGAAAAATAATATACTCAAATATATTTTCATATGCTGATATCAAATTGATTTTTTAAAAACGCGGTATCGATCTATTTTACTTTCAAAATCTCGTGAAATTTCATCGTTCTGTTACAAACTCTTGTGATATTTTGCAAATTATTGTGAGAATTTTTTTAGTAAAATAGATCGATACCGCGTCAATATATTAACATATAAAAATATGGCAAAATTTCGTGAATTTTTGAGGGAACTCGTAGCATAACGATGACATATAGCAATATTTCATTAGTAAAAGAGATTGATATGGTGTTTTTAAATGGCAATATATCAGCATATGAAGATATTGTGATATTTTAATGTATCAATATTTTTTCCCTCGTTTAGAAGTTTTTAAGTCTGAAAAAAGAAGTTTTTGAGGAAGAAGAAGAAGTAGTATTTTTTTTTTTTTTTTTTTTTTAGAGTTTAGAAACTCAGAAGCTGATCAAATATCGGGTTAAATATCGGTGGGGTGGCCGGTGTCCGATATTCAGTTTTAAGGCCGATACAGGCCGATACCGATAGGGGGCCGATTATATCGTGCATCTCTAGTTTAAAGGAGCAAAGAATTTTCTGAAAAAAAAGTTATAATTGAGTGATTCCAAATGTTTAATGAAAGTGATGCAAAAATGGGACTGAAAACTTTATACAAATGAATCCTAACTGAATGTTCCCAACAGGAGAGCGCAGAAAAGAAAAATGTAATATTGTAAGAAAGTCTAATCATTAAGCACTAGCTGGATATTTTTACATAACTATATTATTGGCATTCTTTCTAATGAAAAAAAACCTTAAAATCAAGTTATAAATTTAAAATGTTTTACAGCAGAATAAAACTTCCAAGGAATAAATTACAGCCTTTTTTTTTTTTTCAAATTGTGCTACATGTGAGTGCTATATTGTAGGCTTATAGAAAGATGGTCTTGGGTCTGAATTCTAGCTGGGACCCTCTGGATAAATTTACCGAGTTCTTGTTATTCATACATAAACACAGTGGATCATTTTGAGGTGCTTGACTTCATCTTACAGTCCAAAAGCATATTAGGTCAACTGGCAGCTCAAGTTTGCCTTCAGGGTGTGAGTGCGCATGGTTGGACATGCGTACTCACAGAATGTCTGTGTGTTACATCTTTTAAGTATGTGCAGAAAATAATTAAATTCAGGGTCTCTTATTTCACACATTTGTTTCCTTGAGAATCTGTTCAATCGCCATTAGGACAATATTTTGTAAACACTCCTGACCGCTGTCCAGTGGTTTAAATGCATGCAGATCAAACAATCCAAAGTCAGCATAATGAACTGCATCAGTTGAGGAGATTACCGTTATTTCCATGATTCTTAGATTCTTAGAGATCAAGGTTGGATCTTAGAAAGGCTAAAGGATTTTAAGTTGTCTTTTTTTTTTTTATTTGTCCTCTGTGCTAACAAGCTTGTTGATGTTTCACTCCAGAGTTTGGTAGTTTTATGACCTTTGCAGCTTGCTTTTCCTTTCATTGTGGCTTAACTGACTGGACTTTACTGTCCGTGTTGCGTGGGAAAGTCCGTACTCCTCTCATTCACAAATCTGATCTTTAGCTGCAACTCTCTCTCCCCTACTGTGTGGCGGCGAACCCACTTGCAAATCATCGTTATATTTTTGCAGAAGAAATTAAACGTATCTTTCATTACACTGGTTACAGATATCATAAGAATTTGCTTTTCTTAAATTGTTATATAAATATAAAATTTACTTTCTGTGCTTTGCAATTTATTTACACAGCAGTAAACTACTAAACCCATTTTCTGTCAACATTTTAAAACAGTTTTGTGAGAGGAGGTGATGCATGTCATTAGGGAAGGGGGATGTTTGAAGAAACATATACAAACCACAATAATGTTTGTTTTTGGTTGCCATAGGGTGCAATGACTTTGACTTATGACCCCTCCACAGCAGCCATACAGAGCGGGTAAGTTACCCCCTCTTGATAGAAGTTTGTCAAGTTTAACACATTTTTTATGAAAATAGCCAAAAGTAACTTTGCGTTAAGGGGATTTTAATTTGCTCAAGCAACAAGTTTTACTTTGAAATGCTCTTGGGATTTTATGAACAATATTTAGTCCTTCGTTTCTCTTAAATACAATTACCACTCTCACTTCATATTAAAAGATATTAATCCAAATGAATTACTTGATAACTTAATGGTCTGATCTCCCCCTTAAAAACATTGCTATGCAGGCATTAATTTATGCATGATGCTGATGCCCACATTTATCTTTACAATCTCTTTTCTACGGAGCCCCTCTGATGACATGGTCAAAAACATTTTTTTATTGTGGCCACGAAGTAGTACTTCGTGCGCATGAAATACTTATTAATAATATTAATATCATTCCTGGACAACTGGGTAAGCAAATCGAGCGCGCCTTAGACCTTAGAGAAGGTGCGCTTTCTAACACTAACTGAACCTTTAAAGTTATTGTTATCAATTGATTTACATACTTATTTTACATTTTTCAGCATATATAATAACAGATACCATAAGATTTTGCACTCCCAAACATCAATTTATTTAAGTTTTTCTGACACCTTTTCATAATTACAACAATTCTACTGATGAAATGCTGTTAATTATATATTTTTTGTTTTTTTCTATAGGTACTATCCCTCCCCATATCCAGTGACCAATAGAATAATGACTGTGCAGCCTGCAATGTCTCCGTACATGTCTCCTGTCTCTGCTTACCAGGTACTCAAAGAGTCTTCTTAAATTATTCCCATACAAAACCATAAATAACAAACAAGCAAATTCTGTGTCCTTTCGCCTCACCTTTTATTCTGATGATGTCGGTGTGCACGTCAGGGTGCGGCTTAAAATTCATGAGTTTGTTAGGGTTTAGTTGTTTCCCATATGCTCAGGTGCTAGATGTGATCGAAAAGGTGTTAAACCATAGCTGAAACACTTAGCAGTATTTTGTCACAACAGATTGTTACTTCAAACGGTGCAAAGCAGCATGAACAGATACAGGATCTGTCGGTGATCTCTGTGTTTGCAGGAAGAAATAATGAAGTATTCTCTACTTAATATTAATACACAATAATACATCTCAGTTCTACCAAAACTATTTCCTGCTCCAAACTTGAAGATGAAGGATGATTTTGTATAATTCTGTTTTTCAGGTTTGCAACATAAAATTGTTTTTGTTTGTTTAAAAAACATTTTTTTATTTGTTAAATCTATTTGCTAGATGTTTATTATCTATTTTTCATTTTGATTTTAAACGTAGTAAGACTTTGTAGTCCATTATAGTACTAGTATTGACCAGTACTATAATAGTGATGTCAGCATGCCCGATTTAATTGTAAGCATTAATTTACATTTTGTATAAAATAACACAAGCACACATAAAATCAAGACAAACAATTTGACCAAACAAAAAAAAATCTATTTCCTATTTTTTAAGGCATTGGTTAAGAAGGGAAAGTCTCCTTAAATGGAAAAAAAGCAATTACCTAATCCCCAAAAGTGTTTAAATCAGTTGGATCTTTACATACAAACAATTTCTTCTCCTTAAAACTCTCCACATCTGTAACAAAACATAAAGCAAAACATAAAGCAATGCTGAATTGTGAAGTGGATAGAAAACCGGTTCAATTTTTTTTTTTTCAAATAAAAATCAGCAAAGTGAAACATCTGCCTCCTTTATGCTGGTGCTGCAGATTTGATACCATTAAATGTGCTAAGAAGTCACATAATTAGTTTATAAACTCCTCTCATGTGTTATTTAAACTTACTATAAATACTACTGTTATATTTCTGGACTCAGAAGGTTGTTAGAAAACATCACTGAACAAACTGCGTGACCATCTACTGGAACTGACGGGTTGACAAGAGAAGCGTTAACCAGAGAAGCAGTCATAGAGGCTAAGGGTTACTCTAAGGGATCAGCAGAGAGCAGCAGCCCAGGTGAAATAATCTATTGATAGTGCACTCCATTAATCTGGTTTTTATGGTGTAAGAAGATAGACAATTTTGAGCAAAAGACGCACTGTTTAAAGTTTGTTACAAGCCACACAAAAGGAGCATCAAAATGTGGAATTATGCTGTGGATAATTCAGATCAATCTGGGATCTAAGATCCCAGGCTTGGTTTATACTTGACCCGTCCACAAGGTCTGTGCGGCCAAATTACAGAAAGTGCACATTTTCAGGGTTTAAACTGCATCACTAGTTGAAGGCAACCCCATTTGCAAATCCTCCTCCCAGTATTTTGCAGGTTCTGACAATTAGCTTATATTCTCCATATTTATGGAGCTAAATGTGGTAAATTTTGGCTGCTTATGTTTAGTAGATCGGCTGGCTTTTTATACATGCAAACCTTCGGTTGATTATGTTTGAAAGGAAACAGTGCATTGAAGCTTGTCACAGTTGATTGTCAGACAGTTGTAGCTAAACGTAGGTCAGATATGTGAGAAAATGATGCCATGCTACTAGGGATGGGACGATTTATGAAAACCGCCCGAACCGTTCGGTTCAACTGTCTCGGTTCGCGTGTGTTTCGTTCGGTTCATGCGCTGCTCCTTTTTCTCATAGCCGAAGCGTTTACACTCCAGAGCAGAAGGTGGCGGTACTGCGACCAAAGCCAACCACCAGTAGTAAACAAGAAGAAGAAGAAGCGAAGCAGCTTAGCCGGGTGTAGCAGGGAAAAAAATCAGTTTTTGTGGAGAATTGTGTCGGAATGGCGAGTGGGAAAGAACAGGAGTTGGAAGACGCGCCAGCAGCACTTTATAGGTCTGCTGTATGGGACCGCTTTGCATTTAGAGTGACCTACGATGACAGCAAGAAAGTTGTGGATAAAAGTGCAACAGTGTGCGAGCATTGTGCAACACGTTTTGTTTATGCTAACAGCAACATGACCAACATGTCATGCTAACCCCGAAATCCCTCATACTCCGTCAGCAACCCCCGCTCCGCCCCGCTGCGCTCCAGACCGGCTGCTCAAAGCAAAGCCTACAGCCCCACTGTGGCTCCCGTCCGCTCCCCTCTGAGTTCCTTGGAGATGGTAGAGAGCATGCGCCAGATGATTAAATTCAAAGCAGCAAAACATACGGAGATGATCCAGGGTTTCCGCGGATGATTTAAAATAATTACAATCCATTATTTTTGGGGGGATTTTTTCATTAATTCCATAAATTTTTATGGGATTTCGGTGTAACAATCAACATGTATCGAACTGAACCGAAAACCTTGACCAGAAACCGTGAATCGAACCGAACCGTGGATTTTGTGAATCGTTCCACCCCTACATGCTACTAGAGAGGACGTTCACCTTCCAGCAGAAGCACAAGCCTAAACATGCAAATATATTCATGCTGAGGCAAAGTCCAGACCTAAACTAAAATGTAAATATGTGGCTAGACTTAAAAAGTAAGTGAATATAGTGTGGAAAAGCAATGCTCCCTACACATGTTTATTTTTAATTGTACAAATAATAAAAAAAATCAAATGATATTGCCCATTCTATGTACTTCTTAATTGCACCCTTCTTTGCTTTGGTCTCTCACATAAAATCTGAATAAACTATAACATGATAAAATGTGGGGAACTGGTACATAAACGCTTTTGTAACTCTGTACATGTGCTATGTATCTTCGGTTGTTAATAACCGGATCTATTCTCTTTGATTATTTTGTGCATAAAATTAAATCTTGAAACACCACCAGGATCACAGCCTTCATGTTGTGAAAGTGAGTATTATAAAGGCACAATTTAACTTAGTCTCAGATTAATTCCACATTAGTGGCATTTCAAAATAAGTCAATTTTCAATAAACACTTTACTGTTACACCAAGACCAGAAAGCCAAGAGCCCTCTGGTTGATTCAATCAGTCTAAAACTCCATCTCCATCCATCTTCTGCTGTGAAACAGCAATATGTGCAAATAAAAGCTTTAAATAAGTCATACAAAAGAATCAGGAATTCACATTTTCTCTCGGTTCTGACAGTCAAAATCCTATTTTCTTCATTGAGTAAAAAACAAGGTTGTAAAACTACAAAAGAACAGAAGCAAAAACAAAACTGTCAAGAAAAACAACAGGATAAAAGAAGCCGACATAAACTCAACAAACAGAAAATTAAAATCTACTAGAGAGATGTCTGCTTTTTTAGCATACATAGATACATTTTCCTCCAACTCGAAATGGCAACCTCAAGGGGGCGTTTACTGGGATAATACTACATTAAGCTGGATCCATGTGACGTCTGAGAGCATCTGGATGTTTAAACTACACAATAAAACATGTCTACTGTGAAGATGTAAAACATCCTAAAGTGGAGAACTTCAAAAACCAATAAAATCTTCAAAGTAACATCAAATAATCTAAAAGCTTAGGGGAGGAATATCTGTATTGCTGTTAAATGCTTATAGTTTTGAAGATCAGAAGACTGCATTTTTTACAAGCTGTAAGTGAAGAAAGGGGGATTTCCTGTATCTTCTTATATTTTACCAGGTTTGCTAACAGAGGACTGATTCCATAAAGCCCAAGATGAAGCAGTTAGCGGCTCTGGAAATATAAAAAAACAGCATTTTATTCAGGTTGTCAGTAATGCAGCGGCAGCAGATGATTAAAATGAACATGAATGACTAATCATACTAAAACAGCTCCACAGAAGCTCCTTCTGGGAAACAGGCTTACACATTAAGGCTGAAGGGTTTGGGCTGTTTAAGGCAGCATTGGTTACTTTAAAAGTCATACCTAGATAGAAGTATTTTTCTTATGTCTATTTTTTTTATTTGCGTCCATGCATACAAGTTATTACATCTGACTGTCTGTAACATGAATATGTTTTATCTTTTCTGTGTCTCATGATCTACCCTACTTTAGGTTCAGAGTCATTCTTGGGTGGCACATCAACCATACATCATGCAACACCCAGTAAGTGAACAAAACATATAAAAACTGTGGCCCAACACTATTTCTGCGTACAGGAAATGGGTGTGTTTGTGTGTGTGTAGTGCAGCTGAAGCTAAAGGTTTAAGCCCATTGCTGTTTGCTCTTATTCAGCCCTTTCTGCTGACACAGTCAACTAGAGGTGGGCGATACCGGGATTTTTTAATCGATCCGATACCAAGTAAATACTGGGTCAGTATCGCCGATATCGATACCGATACTTTTTACATTTAAGCTGCACTTGCCTGTTGCTTTTTTTCTATAAAGTTCTCAATCGTGGAATAAATAAGAGATTATCTAATGTTAGCTTATTTTAGCTAACAATTTTTAATGGGATAAATGTACTGGGTTTTTTCAAGGTCTTAACTACACTTTCTGAGTAATATATGATGTATAATGAAGTGCTGCAGACGATGACCACTGTTATCTACCTGGATATTCTCTGGAGGACTGAAACGCTTGGGTCAAAGATGTCTGTCTGAGGCTGGAGGCGGGTCTTTGGTCTCTCTCTCCATCCAAGTCTGAGTGAGCACTCACCCAGCAACCGGCAGCGCGGTTGTCTGTGTGACGTAGTGCTGAGTGGGCAGGCCAAGCTAAGCCTGCGCGCTGATTGGATGGCGCCGCTGAGCCATGTGACTGTAGGAGAGGGGAGGGGGAGCAAAGTGCTGTTACACATATGGGGAAACTGGTGACTCCGCAGCAGTCAGCGCGCGCGAGAGAGGATAAAAAGTATCGATCTTGTTAAACGAATATTGTTCAATATAAATACCAGCGTTGGTATCGATAGTATCGATCCTGGGATCGATCCGCCCACCTCTAATTTCAACCCAACATTCAAAGTTCCCTAAACATAATGTGTGGAAAGACCAAGCTGACAGGCTGTGGGATACAGGCGAGTGTGTGATGGAGAGAGCAAAGAAAGAGAAAGGAAAGAACTAAGCCGACAGCCAGCCCTCCCTTCCTCTGCTCCGTCATTGTGGATCCAGCAGGAAATGCCTGAAGCAGAGACAGTCTTGTGACTCTTTGACTTTTCCAACAGATGGTTTCCACTGGAACAAGTGTCTGTGCTGCTCTGCCCCCTGCCCCCCCACCACACACACACATAGAGTTTCTGTTGGGAATGAACTGTTCCCGAAAGGCATTAATGTTTAAAGAGGCACACTCCATTTGAAAGTTGACAAGCTGCCAAATGAATCCTTTCAGTAGATTCTGAGTATTAAATTTGACTTGGTTAATGAGTATATGCTCAGAGGTGTTGAGAGAAAGCTGTTAGTTTTGGTGGTTTTTGGACCACACTTGTAGATTTTAGGTCATTGGTATATTTCTGCCTCTTTCTGTTGTGTTTGTTGCTAGGTGTTTATTTCTGTTATTAGAGAGCTGCTGGTAGAGAGAGTTGCCTGGCTGTGTGGTACGCTCTGTATCATGTGACATGGTTGTTAAAGCTGAACTGCTCTGTATCTCAGGCTGCTGTGATGTCTCCCTCTGTGGATCCCTCCATGTCAATGCATCCCACAGCTATGATTACTCAGCAGATGGGCCAGCTGTCGTTGGGAAACACAGGAACGGTACGTAGGACCAACTTCATCACTTAAAAGATTTTCAGATTTAGCCATTTCATTATTTAAAGATCTAACAAAAAACATATTTAATTACTGTTACCTTGAGGAATTTTAATTTGGGAATTTTGAGCATAGAGGAAATTGTTTCTCTGACATTCAAACCAAAACAGGAGTTCATGCAAAAAAAAAACAACACACAAATTCTTTTTTTTTTGACATATAACATAAGAAACAATTTCTTAAAGTATGCATGATGGAACAGAGAGCACTACCTCCAGTGACAATATGTACTTTTTACTGGTTATTACCTTAACCGTCCCATCTTAGCAGATAAAAGTAACATTTAAAAAAGGCGATTGTGCACCAAAGAGAATACTCTTTTTAATAAAACTTAAACTGTACCTCAGGTTTGTGCATATTAGGTCTTATTAGAGCACAGTGGATATGTACTTATAGGTCTTTCTCAAGTAAGACTACTAGTGATCCGTTATTTTAATTTTCCTAAAGTAAAAGTAAAAAGAACAGTGCAGCGAAACTACTCCTAAATACATTTTAATCGAAAAGTTAATGAAGTAAATGTCACTGAGTAAAGGTTACTAGCAACTACCCACGTCTGAGGTTTCCTGCTTTTTGCTTTTTCCTTTTAACTGAAATAGTGGGTTTGTGTGAAGAGGCCATAAATGGCAGTGCTGAGTTTTATTTCTACTCTAAAATTAAAACTTTTTCATAAAATAAAATGGCCTTGAATTCGTTTATACGATTGAGTCGGTTCAAAATCCCCAAAATGCTAAGTGGCTGCCACACATGTTAAACATCCATCCATTTTCTAACTCGCTTAGTCCCAAGTGGGGTCGCGAGGGGTGCTGGTGCCCACGGGCGAGAGGCAGGGTACACCCTGGACAGGTCGCCAGTCCATGGCAGGTTGTTTTTGGACTGTGGGAGGAAGCCGGAGTACCCAGAGAGAACCCATGCTTCCTAAGGCAGAACATGCAAACTCCATGAAGAAATTCCGTAAAAATTCAAAAAATATCCTCTGGACTTGGTTTTCCATGAAGAAAGAACCTGGGCCGGGAATCAAACCCAGAACCTTCTTGCTGCAAGGCACCATTGCACCACTGAGCAGCCCCATGTTAAACATATACTCCTTTTTTGCCATTTTGTAGGTTTTATCTCAGTAAAGGCAAGTTTGGCTCTGTCATGAAAGTATTGAGGCCGTTGTTATATAACAGCCCCTTCACACTGCCTTTAGTGTTGATAAAGTTGGAAAACAGTGTAAAAGAGTTTAAGATTCATACATCACCCTTCTACGGGCACTATAGCTTACACAGTAAGTCATAAAGTATTTTATTTTTGTATTTGTTCTTCTGTATTTTACAGTACATTGCTGCCAACCCAGGGGTCCAGGGAGCCTATATGCCTCAATACCCCCCACTGCCGCCAGCAGCTGTAAGTTCTCTGTGAAATCATTCTTTATCATGCAGTCCCCCTCCACCCAGCATCCGTTTAAATCCATTGCATCTAAAAACAGTAATTACTTCAGAAAATGACAGCAGCCTATGCCTTGTCCAGAAGTCCTCCATTCATAAAAGCCTTGGGTTGTTTTTGAAGCGTTCGTCCCCCCAAACCATCAATTTTCTCACCCAGAGGGCGGTTATTATCAGTCTCTAAAGTAGAGATGCTGTTCTTGCTTTGCAGGAAAACGGCACGCTGCAGCAAGTGGATTCATCCAATAACTCGTCTCCTTACAGTCAACTCAGCAAGTAATACACAGGTACAGGACAGCTAGGAAAAATTTTATTTATAATCAGTTACGTAAAAGAAAATATTGTGCACAGAAAAGAAATAAAAATCAAAGATCTAATAGAATCTAACAAAGTGTTTTGTTTTTCTGACTATGATTTTTAGGCCACCTTGCAGCTCAGAGAGCCCGAGGGCAGTTGGAAAGCTGCTGAGGATATTGCAGGGATGAAAGCAACCGCCTGCCCTGATTGGACCAGATACACAAACATTTCTTTTGCACAGCCCCGACATTTTTAGTGGGAATTGAACAGAAGTGGACTTAAACAGTCGGCCAATCAAAGGGGAAAATCAACGAAAAAAAAAAAAAAAAGTAGATCTATTTTGATAAGAACCAACATCCCTCTCTTACTCTCCTTTTCAACAACACTTTCCCGCCCACCTTCACCCCACCCCCAATCATAGTATGATGTGACATTGCATTGCATGTGACTGGGATTATTTTCACCTCCTTTTCGAGTTCCCCATGATTTTAGAGCCTGTTTCATTGTTGGTGTACAGACGTCAGCAGGCCTCGTTTGCACTGAAACTTTTAGAATAACTTCTTATTGGTTTTCAGAGCTACAGGAAAGTGAAACGCTGACGGGAAGTCGGTCCGAACTGCACTTGAAAGCTAACATAGATGACCATTTCATTAGGAAATTATCGAATTTATTATTGGAAACGGTGCCTTCCTCACATAACATTGAACATCGTCCATCTAACTTGATCAGGTGTCATTCTTCTATTCCAATTGATCAATAGTGTGTGTGAAATCATGGAAATCTCCATGAAGTGTTTCGCTATCTAGTTGTTTGGTAGCAATATAGACAATGACAGTTCCACGGCAATACTGAGAACAAAGGTGACAAACTCAGAGCATGGTAATTTCTTATTTTTCCTTTTTCCTTACCTTTTTTTAATTTCATTTCCTTTTTTCTTTTTTTTTGAATGAACTAAACATTAAACACGAGCCGTACTTTTATGACTTTACAAGTTTGAATCCCAATGGGCATCTCTTTCAAAGGCTTTTTGTTTTCTCTAGTGGTCGGTTTGACCAGTTATCTACCTCACGGTTTCGCTGGACTCGGCTGGTGCTGTCGGGTTTGCAGGTAAAGCCCCTTCGCGCCAGACTGATCGCTGCAAACCAGAAGCCACGCTCAGGAGCTGGCTAAATAGGACTTCTGCCGTTTGTCTCCCATGTGCAGCATTCCTCCTCTTAATCATCAATATGGGGAAAAAGATGCTTTTTAAAATTTATCCCAATTTGTCTTTCCTTTTATTGTGTTTTTTTTTTCCCATAACATGACAACCAATGCTCCATTTTAGAAACTCATAGTTTCTCTGTAAAGCAGTTACTATTTTGTTAGATATTTCACATTTCACCTGCTTACTGTAAAGATAAAACATGCCAAACCATTTAGATGAGCGTAAAAAAAACATCAAAAATAAAACAATCAGGAATAAAGTACTGAAAAAAAAAGTTATCTTTATGTAGTTTGATGGTTTTTGAAATTGAATAGCAAAACTATATTTCTTAAAATCTGCAAGCTACTTCCTTACTGTGAGGGCCAAAAGTAAAAAGCAGAGTAGTTTCACTTCTTCGTTGTTCTCTTTTTTCCTTCTGGATGAATTTCTGACGAACAATCATCTGGAAAGAGGAAAAAAGGTCAAAGCAAAGTACCATTGTGGTGCTTCCTCCTGAGCTGCTCTGCTTAAAACAGTGGGAGGTGAACACAGACAAATTACAGCCGGACATTTTACTGAACGTACTTTTCTTTTCTGAAGATTTGTTGCTGGGAAAAAAAAGTAAAAAAAAGAAAAGAAACAAAAAAAACAACAACTTGTTTTTCTCCTTGCCTCCCTCCTGTCACCATCTACCGATTCTCAAACAACCCTCTCCTTGCTCCTTTGGAAACATTGAATTAAAAACAATAAAACATTCTTCTCTTTCTCAGATATCATGGCTTTTTTTGACCAGCTTCTTTGCTACAGTTGTACTTTACTGTCAGTCAGGTTTTTTTCTTGTCAAGGTTTAGACTTAACTGCAGGCAGGCGCTTGATTGAGCAATTGATTGAGCAATTGAGCATGATGTTGTTTTAATACGGTAAAGCAGAAAAACGTACATATGATATGGAAATGAAACCAAAAAGTACAGAAGAGGTAACAGTAACACAATAATCCAGCAAAGATTGATGAAACCCAGAAAGCTTATAGTCATGGTGAATGTAGAGGAAAGGGCATGGGGAGCAGGTGAGAGCAATCAGGTGAGAATGAGAAACAGCTGAGGAGAATTAAGGTGATGAGCTGAGGGAGGGCGAATAATTAACAAGGTAAAAAGGGAACACAAGGATGAAATCTAACAGAGTATTAATATGAAATACGAAAAACTGAATTAAGAATTTTACCCATAAATAGTAAAGTAAAATAGAAAATATCAGAAAGGAAAGTACAGACATGAAGAAACAAAAAAAATGACACTGTCATTTAAAATGTATAAGGCTGATTTTAATTGAAAGCTGATTAACAGGCTTTTGGTCTACTGCAATCATTATAATCAGCTGTGCTAAAGCAGGGAAACCTCTAAAACCTGCAGGACAGTGGTCTTTAAGGACTGACTTTGGGGATGCCTGGTATAAGGAAAAGACCTTTGTTTAGTTTGTAATTCATGCAAATAAAAAAATAGAATACAAATACTACAGTATCCCTTTTTAATTACCACTCAGAGATATACAAATTACAAATGCAAAACAGAAGGCAGTAATTTGCTTACTGTGCATCAATTTACCTAACTATTATGAAATTAATTGCAAAACGGTATTAGGTTTGACACAAGGAGACTATTCTGGACTGACAAAACTAGATTCAGTGTATGATGCATGAGACGGAATTGGAGCTGGGTGACAGGAAACTAGTCAGTGACACAGCTGTTTATAAAAATAGACTTTACGAGAAGTTGGATTTCTTTCATTACAAATCTAAATATGTAAAGGGAAGAGTGTAATTTAAAATGATGACAGGATGAAAAACATGTAGATAGATGTTTTTAGTAGTCCAGTACAACGTAACAGTAGTTTTGGAGGGGTTGTTCTGCTTTAACACACAAACTATGGATCTGTACCATGTCTTTATGGGTTCTATAGTGTGTATATATATATATATATATGTATGTATATATATATATATATATATATATATATATATATATATATATATATATATATATATATATATATATATATATATATGTATATATATACACATATATATACATTCCCTAAATGTTTCACATTTTTTAATAATGTGACCAATAAGCAATGTTAAGTAGGCTGTGTATGGGGGATCTGGCAGCAGGTGGCACTGTGGGCCAAAGCAGTCCAATATGTAGCCATCAGAACTGACATCTTGGCATGACTGACTGATGTTATGTATGCAGCTTATGGGGGATCAGATGAGCAACATGTGCAGCATGTGTGCTCTATTTCTCCCCATTTCCTGCACTATTTCAGGCCCACAGCCTTTGTAGTTTCACTATTACACCGGATCTCCTTCTTAAGCTCAGACTTAGCACAGCTGATCCCAGAGACATGAAGGCACCATGCCTCCATCCAAGACCACTCAGAGGGATCAGAACCGCCGGGGTGCAAGATTAGCAATTACATTCTCCAAAACACAACAGCCCCCCCAATCCAACTACAGCAACTCCCCAGCACTACATGCACTCACTTTTGTCAATCAAATGTCAATTGTGAAGGGATCAAACCTTTAAACATCAGAGACAAACAAACCAAGAGGACCTGCTTAATTCACCACAGCTGAGGGAACACATGGCACAGATCCCCAGAGAAAAACCAAGGTCAGAGGCTGGCTTTAGGAGAGGCAGACAGCGGGACATGATCTCCTTCATTTTGTGTGATGCACTTCAGCAATTCAACAAATGGGATGGATGTAAGATCAGCAGGCTTAAGCGAATCCAGGGATATAAGTTCCTGTTTGATAGTGTGCAACAAAATACAGCCAAAGGAAGGCAAAATAAACATTTTTATTTAATGTTTATTTTGCAAATACTAACAAGCCAAAACCTAATTTCAAATAAGAAAAATAGAAATTGAAATGTTAGGAATAAGAGAAAGAAACTAACAAATAACTCTTTCTATAAAAATGAATGTTTTACACCCTTAAGGGAATCTGGTAAGCTTTTATTCACGTTCGTTAAATTTCGATCATGCAACCGGCAAAACTTCTATACTACACAATTAGAATACAAATGCAATTTTGCTTTTATAAAGACAACTAAACCTTGTTATACACAACCCTTGTTACAATGTTTATTTCTGATATGAAATACATGTTTTACATATCCTGTTGAGGTTTTTTTTTCTGTATACATGGCTTTTATAAGCCATGTATACAGAAGAAATAGACTAATTAGTTGGGGGATTTTTTTTAAACACGCTTGATAATTCTCAGATACATTTATTTTTTATGTGCATCCAATTTTTTCTGCTCTGATGTCTTCAAAGAAAAGACATTTTATAACAAAGTAATAAATCTTTATGTTGAGACCAAATTTAGTGTAGTTGTAACTGTGTAATTACAATGATTACTTACAAAAGTTGTTTACAATGTGAAAACAATAGAGAATATTTATTGATGTATTTATGCAAGTAAAACTTTTTGTTATTCTTGCAGATACCATTATTTTTGTTTTTTTGTTCTGTTGTAGGATTTCTCCTTGGTTTTCTCTCCATGGCATTAAAGCCTGAGGACAGAGTTGAGCTATTCTGGATGCATTTTTAGCTTTTTATGCAGTCAGGCTGATCCTGATTTTGTGGGGCCTTTACACAAATTCCTCCCCAAGTATTTTATGACTTGCTGTTAAATTTCCCATATGTGTTCATGAAAGTCAGTTAACAAACCTCGCCACATTGCTGTAACCTCGTCCACATTTCAGCTAAGGCTATAACAAAAAAAAGATGTGTTGGAACTTTTAATAGCATCCTATTTTTATTGTATCTATTCTTTTAAAGTGTGCGTTTGTCCTTTCCTAATTTGTTCCATTTGTGTGAGCATATAATATGTGAGTACCTGCATTTTTGCCATACCAGTGCATGAGGGAGGCTGTGCCAAAGAGCTGGCACTCCTTCTCTCAGCTTCTCCTCAATTCAACTGCAGGAAATAATTGAACTTAAGCAAATACACTGAAGCTGGGTGCAGATTTATCAGAGAGTCCATACTTTTGGCTCAGGAGTGTTGTGGTGCAGCCTCTGGGTTGCAACACAAGCACATCAGGCAAGTTGGCTCTTAATAAAGAAGCCAGCTCCTGTGGATATCTCACTGCCTGCAGTTGTTAATGTCAGTCATTATCACTGCAACCTCCCTCTACACACATATGGGCAAGCTGGAGCTTGTGCAAACACCCACACACGACCCCCACATGCATGTTTACACACCCACTCACCCACTTTCTCATGCACACATATGTCGTCCCGTCCCCCCCAAACGTACACACACACACACAACCTAACACACAAAAACACATGAGCCAAGGAGCATGGGCAGCAGGGTCACCCCAGCGCCATGCTTCTTAAAGGGCGCTTTTACAATAGGTTTACTGTTTCCCTGACGGGAGCTGGGACATAAACAGACTAATGGTGTTGGTCAGATTTCTTTCCATTTTTCACTTGATTGGGAGGAAGAAAGACTGAGAGCGGACAGCATGTTATCAGAGAACGGCCCTGGAGGTGAGTCTGCTCATTGAAGGCTTTATGCACACCTTCATTTTTGTGAGTTTTAGATGTATGTAGAGCTAAGAGAAGCCTGCCCAAAAAAATCAAGGATTTTTATTTTATAGATGCATTAGAGGGAAATTCTTTTAAAGGTCATGTCATGATATTGACAGAACACTGATGGACCCACAGAAATCAGATTTAAATCAACAAACCTTTTACTTTAGAAAAGTGTGACACCTTGTTATGTCTAAGTCATTTATTATATTTAGTGAAGGAAGTTGCAAAATGTGGTTTAATTGCATCATGCTGAGGCAAGGTGTCTAAGGGAGAGAACGGGAAATCCCAGGTAGGCTGAGAGGCAGGATATGAGGGTAGTAGACCAAATGAAATAACCTCACAGTTGCACTCTTCAAGAGGGTGAGATAGATCAAAATCTGGAGCTGAGCTGAATGGGCTAGGAGCAAAAAAAAAAAGGGGATTGGTATAACAGGGGTAGTGGTGAGATTTAAGTCTAAGGTGACAGATGGGACTTAGCCTCACATGGGTGTGGCGTCAAATTGTGAGATTCCTGAGTATGCACTAGCAGTGATATTTCTTTCTCAGCTGTCAATGATTCAACACCTACCCAACGTCACACCCTCCGACCCTCTGAACTACAGGCATGGCACATACACACACTCAGGCATATTTCATATTCTACCACAGGTCTCCGGGGTTGTTTCAGTCAGCTATCAAGGTGAAAAAATCAGAAGTAACAACAATGATTCCTGGGTTAAACATTAAACTACCTGTTACCATTTCCAGGTTATTCTGAGTCCTGTCTGTGTTTGCTTAACGCCAAGCTTAGCTGTATTTTATGACTGTTATTCGGCCCAAATACAATGAATGAACATCTAAAATCATAGTCTGGTCTTGGTGACACATACAGCCATGTAGTCATGCAATAAAGGCAGAAGGAGTATTTAGGTAATGAAGGCACTAAACACTCAGTGTAATTCAATCCTTACTCTATGCACCAAACTAATGTACTTAATTGAAAAAGGAAGATCAGAAGATTTGTAGTAGTTAAGGTCGCACTCTCAATGGGCATCGAAGCATTTAGTCTCAAAGTTTCAAGTTGCTTTATGTTTCTTATATAGAAAAACAATGATTGACTGCAAAAACAACTCACATGAAAATAGGTGATGAAATATATTATGGTCCAATAAAATACATGACTGGAAATG